ACTGTGTACATTGGACTGCTGCGTTGTTGGTTTAGTAGAAAGACCACCTTGCCAGTTGTCACCAAATATCCACAAATGGGTTTCAAAGTGAGCCTGAATAAACAATGACACGTGCCGAAACATGGGGGCGGTCTCTACTATACTTACTATACACTAAATTCAGAACCCGTACCATCCCTACCATATTTTGTCACGTCGAGTTTAACCCTATCTAGACCGGGGAGTGAGGGCTAAAAGTGCCCGCGCCAACTTTGATGTCGGATAGCATCCGAACGACTCGCGATAGAACCACCAAACTTGGTGACTTTTCCTAAAATATTCTTACAATCAATTTTGAATCAGTGGAATAAGATACTGAATTTTGGTGTTGCCATGGCAACCATATTACGTCATAACGACATGAAATTGTTATCGTTTTTTTTTTTAGTAGTAAACTATTCTCTAAAAATTTGGTGGTCATACGATATACAGTTCGCGAGTTCTGAGTTCCCGGTCCCAAAAAAGCCCGGTCTAGATAGGGTTAAGCTGTTTCACAAATTTGAACAGCTACAAATTCCGTGACTAACACGGCTTTCTATACAAATATATCTACTCAAAAGGAGAATAAAGGCTACTGCCCCCAGACTAACAAAGGATGACTGACAGAAAGAACAATTCAGCCAAATAGGCAGAATAACTTGCCACGGGAGTCTGGCCAACACATTGTTTCATTTGCCAAGGGGAAATGTTACGCTTAGTAAGGTTCACTCCTCTGATTAACTACGTACGGACCGTAATGTTGCCAAGTTGCTGGAAATAATAATCCAGGGGAGTTAGCCGGCATAGTACACTTTTCTGTACCCTGTTCTAGAGTTAGACATGATGGAGTAAGATACAAAAGGCCCTTTTAGATTTAAATAGGGAGAATTTGCCAGTGTTGTGTCACCCTAGACTCACTCTCTCAGAGACCTTACCTGTTGGCCGAATTCTACCATCTGTATCCTGACGGAAATGGAGGCTATATAGTGGGGAGCTAGACGCGCTAAGCGTAGGCACGTGTCCGAATTCTACCATCTATAACCTAAAAAGAAAAGCCTGTTGGAGGCTAAATAGCTAGGGGAGAGTTAGCCACGCTAAGCGTAGGCACGTGCGGGCCGCCCTGTCTGGCCTTGCGCTGCTAACGCTGTGTCATCACGTGCACGTCTGGCCAACTATGGACCCTTATTTTTGCCAAATTCTACCATCCATAGCCCCTTAGGAAGGCCTGGTGGAGGCTACATCAAGGCCCTCGTCCCTTTAGCGTACGCACGTGCAGGCCGCCCTGTCTGGCCCTGCGCTGCTAACGGTGTGTCATCACGTCTGGGGCAGAAGCGGTTCCAGACGGGGCCGTGCTGGGAGGGTCACGCCGTCATTCCTTCCAGATGAGCCGTATTATCACCCGGAACAGGCGAACTTCGGGGAAACCATTAATGGTTACGATTAAGGTGTCTCGAATTCGCCGTACAATTTCCAAGTAGGCTATGCGAGAACCTTCCAAATGAGGTGCATTGTCAATCGTAACCAGCAAACTTGGGGAAACCATTAATGGCTACGTTTAAGGTCTGAACATCTGAACGTAGAAGAATCCACGTTACCTTCGTGGTAGATCGTCGGACAATTTTCGCGATGTCGTTGGATTTTATAGTAGGCTGGGTCAGAACCAATTGCAACCACCGACGGATCTATGAATGTCTTGTCCGTAAAAAAGGATAGTTTCGAAGCATGTTCCAATGCTGAAATACTACACTATATATGTGCTTGAACACTTGAATGTAAATGTAATGAAAAAAATAATGTCCTGGTTCGTGTCCGTCTTTTCATTGTACAACTTGGCAAAGCCGTAACAAGGATTCTTCACACAACTAAGTTTTGATGACATTGTCCCGAACTTCCTAAATACGTAGAAGGGCCTCGGGGGTTTTGCAGTCAGATCATGGGGCCAGTCAGAAACCGGCGGGGTGTTGCCCCCTGAAATCTGCTCGGAGATTATACACTGACGGGTGATGAAGAGAAATATCTGCCCAGAGGCAACAAGTCAAGGGTGCGACGCATTTCTGACTTATCAAGATTAACACTGTTTCAACCCAGAGGCGGTTCGGCCTCCGCTGTGCCTAACCTTGAAGCCTGGATGTCGTTTGTTTCATGTGTTGTCAGCAGTGTTTGAAAACTTATTCCAGACTACAGAACGCTTCGCTTTTCCATCATACAAACTTGCCAAATTCAGGATGGCTGGATGTCGTTTGTATCTCTGTATTGTCAACTCGCTCAAACGGTTTGTCATGCCGCAAAAATGTCCAAGTTTTCTTCCACAGTGTTTGAAAACGTCAAGTATTACAGACTACAAAATGTTTTGCTTTTCCATAAGACGCTGTCAAAAACTATGGTCTTCAATTATCCCAGAGCCTTTTAAGACGGTCATGTCAAGAATCATGGTCTTCACTTCACAGAACTTTCTTACAAAGTTTAAAAACGTTAGGTATTCCAAAGTATAACATTCCAAGTTTTTCCATACGGCCCTATCAAAACTTTGATCTTTCACCACTTTTCTGGAGTTTTTGCAATGCCTGAAAAGAGTGGTAACGTCTGTTTTTCATCTTTTTGTTTGTTTCAAAATGTTTAGTGGAACCTCGTTCTTTTTGTGTTATGGCTACAAATTCTGGTATTCAAAATAATGTCTTAACCCTTTTGGCCTTATTTCTACAACTAAGTTTGTTATGGAATGCAATCAAACATATTGAAATGTTTACGAAGTCCCCAAAGTTACACTCTCATCGTCATACAGATTTGTAGAGACTTTCATTCTCATATAGAACATTTCTGCAAGTTCTACCAGCTATGAAATGCTGCAGTAGATTCATACATCTCCAAACATTTTTCAACGTTGTACGTTTCATATCTTCGCACCACTTTTAACTTACGTCCCTTTGAATTTTTGACTGAGTGTGGCGTCGATGACGCAACGGTTAGAGCGTTGGACTCGGAACCAATAGGTCCTGGGTTCGATACCCACCGTGGCCCGACATTGTGCCCCTGGGAAAGGCACTTAACACGACTTCTCCACCGGTACCTGCACAGTGGAGTGACGCCCACCGAGCCTCTCAGGCTAATCTGTTTGTGTACGAAAAACACACTGCGGATTTGGTGCGCCAAAGTGTCAACATCAGCACATTTGCCACCAAGAGCCGTTCAATTTAAATAAAAGTAAGACGCCTCCTTTCTACTCCTGCAAGCCCAACTTGCGGTGGGTATTTTGCGGTTTGCCCCCTGAGGCCCCTATCGTCTGTTTCTGATGAGTTCCGACATTATTAGCAGGTTAGCAAAGCTCCTCTAACGCAGATGACTCCTCAAGTATCCCATGAAATCAGGTCAAGCCTCACAGGTGGGCGATTAATCCAAGATGGCCGCCCTCGGTCTGTGACCTCCAAGAGGTCATCTGCTAGGTATGCTTTTGATAATGAGGAAAATTAAACCGTCTCAAGCAAAGGCACCCGTTCGGTCGCTTTGAAAATTAGTTTTAGGGGAATGCCAACCATTACATAAGGAAATGCAGTTTTAATTGAGACACAAGTTGTCTGCGTTTCAAGGTTCTTTAGTCGCTGAATTTTACACTATAGGGAGTCCTAACCTGGTGCACAGTTTGCTCAAAACTGTTTGAAAAGAATGTGGAAAAATAATTTAAATCCTCAAAAATTTAATCAGTATTACATATCAGTATCGATATAATTTTTTTCCGTTTGACGCCATCCCAAAATAATGTACTACATCAAGTAGTTATTAATCTGCTAAATAGTTGGGTATCTTAATTAATACATATGCTACCATTTTCAAGAAATACACTATAAATACGTCGATGAAGGTTAGACATCCAGACATCCAAAATCATATCCAGTTGCTTGAGTAACTGTTTTTTTGGCATACACTATAAATATATTGTAACCTATCAATCCATACGTACACTGTTCTGTTTTCCATCTATTTTTCGAATTTAGAACAAGTAGCGGTGAAGAAACGCATTATCACTGGAACTACAAAAGATAAGCAAGAAAATAAAGAAACAAAACAATAAAATGAAATACTGATTAAAGCTAAGATAATAAAAATAATGTTCAAACAACGAAACCAAACCACGAATGGTTGGATACTGAAAGGCGTCAATTACAACATCATGTTGGATGCACAGGGTTTTGAAACATCTATGTTTCCTTTTTATAGTGTCTATGATACCTTTTAGAATTTTTAATCTGTCTTCATACTGAAAACTGATTTTGGTCTTGAGCTGAAAACTTTCCAAATGTGAAATTCTTTTGACCATTCTTTCAGACTTGAACTAGAACTGAAATGAGACAACATTTGTTTCCTATTTGTCACCTTACTGCAGTGTAAGGGCAATGATTATACCATTAACATTTCCTGTTGCTTTCCTGGAACCCCGTTACTGTTGTCCTTAACCAGACCGGGAACTGTGGGTGGGGTTCCTAAGTCGCCATATCACCAGACTTGACTTTTATTTACTACCACTGTAAGGTCCAGTAGTGTTTATCAAAATCCAAAGTAAACATTACCAAACTTTCGTAGATAATTTCATCACGTTGGTAACGAATAAATAGCAAATTTCTTTAATCACATCCATTTATTTTTACGAGCCGACGTTTCGATGACCGTACTGTGAACTATGTAACACCTTTAGTGCACTATTCACCAAGTAACATCTAGCGTCAGTGCACAGTAAACCAGTCAGAATTCCCCTGATGAAGATGACAGACGGTCATCGAAACGTCGGCAAGTGAAAAATAAACGGTTGTGATCAAAGAACTTTGCTATTCATTACTCAACTTTACTGGTATTTTCTGCCATTGGTAAATCTAAGTTTTCAATTCCTCTTCCTATTTGTCACCTTAACTACAGAGTAGGGGCAAGTCCGCGGTTATACCGTGGTCATTTTCTATCAGCCGACCTAGCTGTCCCGCATTCTTACAAAGTTTTCAGTTCCTCCGCCAGGCAGCCCTGTTAAACCGGGAGCTGGGTGTGGGGTTCCTGGCCACCGCCTCTGCCTCCTGCTCCTCCTCCTCCCGCAGATCCTCCAGGATGTCCTCCTGGTTCTGCACCATGTCTCGCAGAAACTTGTTCTTCACACGGAGCTCGCGGATCAGCTTACCCTGAAGGAAAAAAAATGGATTAGCACCACCTTTGGAGGAACACAAATATGAAAATATGATGTTATTAAATTCACGTGAAAACTTCCAACATGTGAAAAACAGGTCATTGCTCATTATCTACTGATAAAATAAAAATGCCATACCTGTTTCTTGCTATACATGTAACTTGTCTAACAATAACTTATTCCCCCATGACCGCAATGGAAAGCGTTCAGCAGGGCAATTTGTGTATTTCATGAATTAAAAAGGAACAAAACAGATGGATAAGAATAGAGGTTTCTTTAAAAACAATAAAGCAAATGAATTTCAGTGACATTGAGCATTTAATGCAGAACTGGTTGAAAACAGTTGAAGATGAGTACAAAACCCTATTTTAGTCCATTCCAAGTCCTTTCAAACTATTAAGCTCTTGCCATGCATGTGAAGGAAGGTCAGATATGCCTTGGTCCATATGACAAATCACATTCAATTATGGGAAAGGTTAGTAGAAGGTCCGGCCTTGTGTGTGGGCGACATCAGTGTAACTAAAACCACGTGTTATCGGCAAAAGTTGTGACTCAGTCACCCTACAGGTTAAGAATACAATCAACGTGAATAAGTCATAATTGGTAGTACCATTTTGTGGTAAGGGAACTGCTTAGACTATTAGTAAGTTCTGTATCACGTTTTGCGCGAATTCCAGACCCTGTCCTCGGCATTACACTCCAAGATGACCCTGTGATAACTTAGGACAAACCGCGAACCGGCTGCCTTACATTTCCAATTATTCCAGACACACCGGGAAGAAAGATCAACTCAAAGACGAGACCATCGTGATAGGTTAAAACCACAACCAGCGGGACTTTTCTTTAACTAGGAGCGCTCTTTTATCGTCGTTTGGTCGCTTAGACCCTGTTTAGGCTACATCATGTGTTACTGTGCGCTCTCATGCCAAGCACTGTGTTTGGCAGGACCGATTTAATACTAAGACTGGATGCCAGGTAATGTTTCAAAAAACTGAGTCCCCAGGCAGTTCAGGGCGACTAGGGGTGGGCCAAAATGTCACGTCTTCATAATAAACGTATGCTTTGTGTTTTCGACACAAATTTGATGTATAGCACCCATACATGGCTCACAAACTCCTAGTGTTGCTCACACCTTGCACCACACCGTTCGATGTCACCTTCAAGAGAGTATTCACTCAATAACCGACAACGTGTTTTAAAAACTAGGTCTCTGGGCGGTTGAAGTTGACTGGAAGTGGGCCAAACTGTCTGGTATTTTATCGGACGTTTTTCCTAGAAGGGCGGAAACAGTTCCTGGGAGGTACCGGGGGAGTCGGTCGCACAGCAATCGCACAGCAGTCGCCCTGCAGTCGCACAGCGGTCTCCGGTCTACTGGCGTAATCGAACACAAGGAACTCCGCGGGCGGGAAACGGGGAAGGCGGAGAAAAATGCCAAGGGCAAATATCCGTGACCTTGGAGAAATGTGATAGCTGGCATCCCGCCTTGATGCAATCTTAAGCTGTTATGATACCCATACTCGTACCCTGCTTCTGACCCTGATCTGAAGACCCATGACCTTGGACTAGATCTTTCTTTCCTTCCATTTTCTTTAATGATAAAACTTTTCAGCCTGTTACTCTAAAAATTTGCGAGAAGAGAGCGAAAGAAAGAAAGCAGTTGCGAAGCTTAAGTTGTATCAAACCTGCATACAATGTTCTTGAATTTTCATATAGGAAATCGCATAGGGCAATAGACAGAACTGAAGTCTGCGAAGAAGCAAGAACTTTTACTAGCTGTTTTGGATGTTGCAGGCGACTGTACCGTTTCCGTACCTACATCAACGTCTTGACAATGACACACACCATCACCAACATATTGCCACGTTTGAGTGCTTGACACTGAGGTGGGCAGTCAATGTCTTCCACATTCTTTTGTCTGTCGCTGTGCATATGCATTGCATAACTCATCTGTCTTCTGATGACGAGGTGGTTAGGAATAAAAAGTGACATGACAAGTTCCTGGCGTTCAGCGTTTTTTTTTTTTTTTTGGACTTGGACCTAAACATTTTTACAAGTCAGGAACTACTTCCAACGAACCGGTACACAGCACTATCCACAACAAATCTTTCTGTGACGCCCATCAGCAATGACACTTACCTGCCCTCTGATGACAAGGTGGTTTAGAAAAACAAGGGGAATGTGACATGGCTAGTTCCTGGCATTCAGGCTTTTTTGGACACAAGTCAGAAACTACTTCCAGCGAACCGGTACACAGCACTGTCTACAACCCATCTCACTGTGACGCCACCAGCAATGCGAATGTGTCAGCAATGACACTCACCTGTCTTCTGATGACGAGTTCCAGCTCCTTCCTCCTGCGGGACTCCTTGTCCACCTGCCTGGAGATGTCGGCTCTCCGTGCGGTCATACGCCGCTCCAGCTTCTTGATCTTCTCTGCTAGGGTCAGTAGCGAGAGGTGCGGACGAACAGGCGGCGGCGGGGGAGGGGGCGTCGTTTGTTCCGCTAACTGTCCTCCAAAAACGTCGCTGTCATCGTCATCTTCAAACTGGGACGGTGGGTACAGCTCGTTCCCGACGTCGAACCCTCCGCCGAGGCTGTTAAAATCCTCCCAGGAATCCTCCTTTCCAGCGCCGATTCTGTTGGGGTCCTCCCAGGACCGGTCTTGGCCAGGCGAGAGGATGGTGTTGTCGATTCCCTGCGGCTTGTCTAGCAACGCTTTCCTGGCGTTGCCGTCGTCTTTTGCGGCGGTGTCGACGTAAGCTGGCGGGAACACGTCTTCTTGAACGTCAGGGGAAAGAATCTCTTCGACAACGACGATCGGCTTTGCGTCGGCGACGTTCGACGACGTCAGAAAAACGCAGACGACAACAGCAAGACTCCACCACGACGACATCTTAGCCGACATACCACCGCTAGTACCACTTCCTTATCTGAGACTGAGAGGGGCGAACTTTAGAGCTGCGCACGCCACACGCGGGTCTCGAGGGATGGGTTGCATTTTCTCTCCAGCATGTCTTCACGGGGGCTGGTTGGCAGCTAATTAGAAGTTTTGGCAGGGAGACGTGTGACGGTTAAGGAAGCCGTCCCGGCCCGGGCCGCCCCGCTGCCAATGTAAACTGCAGACCAGACCGCCCATTATGACGGCAGGCTAGACCAAGTCCGGATAATACACCAAAAAGCCGTTACTCAAGCAACTGGATATGATTTTGGAAACGGTCACTGACGAAAGCTAGTGGATACTAGCTGAAACGTCTGACTGATTTTTGGCGTAACGTATTACCGGATGATACAGCCTTAGCTTCTTCTGCATGTTTCAAAAATTGGTCCCGAAGGCTAACTCCAAAATGACACACAGGATGTCAAGTCTATAGAAGAGAAGAGGAAAAATGTCTAGTCTATAGATACGTGATCTATTACATATGACCCAATTTCCTACTTACACAGCGTTACACGCTCACTCACTCACTCACTTGGCTGTGTCGCAAAGCTATATCTTATAACCATAAAAGTCAATTTGTGAGGGAAAGCATGTGTATCACTGTATGGTTACCCTGTATATACCGTTTTGCAGAATTGACTTGATCGCTGATTCCTGTTAGCCTACACCAGGCCTTTCTACGGGAATACGGATCGTAGAATTTGGAAAAAGAGTAAAATTGGCCAAGGGAGTCCGGCCGCGGGGAGGTAGTTTCTTTCTCTCCGAAGCCAGTCAAACTACAAGGCGGCCAAACTCCCCTGGCAAATATTCTCCTATAATATAGCCGGCATAGTTAGTCTAGTAGAGAATAGATTCCTGTACCATCTTCAGTTTTACCAAATCCTGTTGCAACCGTTGCAACAGTATCTGACCATTTAGACCCCTTCGTTACACGTTGGAACTTTCGCAATACCAAAAGTTGCAAAGCATGCAGATTCTTTCAGACAAAGCCGCCGCTCGTCGTAAAAATGACAAATCGTAGAACTCTCTGCACCGAGACAAAAGGGTTGGTCTGGATTCCCGCTGAACGCAGATAGCGTCTAATCACCGGCCACAGAGTCGCGCCGAATAAAAGAAAGCTGGAAATTAGAGTTGCAATAATCTGTGACATGTGGTCGCGCTTCAGGAACCAGAGGTGGCAGCATCAAACATTTCTTAAGTAGACGCACGCGAGAACTGTCTCGATAATATAGACGAATTCTTCATCAATGTACGAACAAAATACTCTTCAAGCAGAGGTTTTTAGATTTTTTATCGGGGTTACTTTTTTGCACTTGAATTTTTACACGTTGGGTTGGGTGAAAAAATTCCAGTGCCAGTGCAAAAAAGAAACCCTGATAAGAAGCCCCAATACACGGCACAAATAACTCCAAAACCCAAACCTCTGCTTGGAGAGTACGAAGCAGGTTAGGTGGATCTAAAGAATTTTCGAAGAAATCTTTTTACGTTATAGTATCATGGATCTGAATAGTCTCTTGCAATCAGCCGTCGTGAAAGAGTTTGCAAATTATGGCTTTACAAGTCACAGCAGCGTCTCATGCCTGTTTACCATGTATTTATTGGGGAAGAGGTTTGTTTTCTACTTCTACCCAGTTGTGCATTTCCTGTCTGCCTCCTACACATCCACATGTTGTGACAGGCGCTATGTACACTACATACAGGTCTATTGTTCCAGGTAAATTCCCCCAGCTCTTCTTCCTACAATGAACAGTGGACCGCGTCCTATAGGACTGCGACCCTGAAGATCTAGTTGCGTGCAAGTCGGTTTGACGACAACATCCGGGATTCGAACTAACAACCTTTTGGTCCAGAGGTAGATTCACAAACCACCACACGCACGCTACGACCAAACATTACTTTTGGATCATTTACAAACTATAATAATAATAATGATAACTGTTCTTGGCTATAAATTAGCAGTAGATTAACTGTAAACTACAACTGACAGACCAAATCAGTGTATGTCTCTGTAAGGTTCAATCCGTCTTCGTTTGTCTCTTGCTAAGTCTCTAAGACATTTCAGTCCGTGAGACTCAAGTCTGATGTTGTGATTAAGACAAAGTTTACAGTTGTCGACAAGGCTACTAAGGAAAATCTTCACGTGGTCTTCCTTGTCTGGATGTAAGTTTGTTGCCGAACGCGACACTGAGGACCTAAATTTCTTTCCAAATAGAGACAAAACCATGTTAAAGAGTAATCAGTCCTCACAGATGGGTATTTTCCCGGGGTAATGCCCTAATGTGGGGAGGTCGTTAGGCCATGACCCGGAGTACAGAACTTATAACAAACACCAAATGTTTCCATCTTCAGCCTCTCAGGGTATCCCCTACCATCTGTGCGTGATAACGAGTCTTTAGAACGGTGGATTTTGAAACATCAGAAGCAGCAAGGATCTGCAGTGGTGCAGTGTCGCAATGAAGTTAAAGATTAGACCACAAAGGCACTTGAAACCAGAGAGATTGCTCTATAAAGATGCCATCAATTAAAATGTCAAACATCTTTAAAAATCGCTCATCTAACCTGTATAGTTATTATGACTGACACCTGTGCTTCTTCAGAACGGCGGACTAAAAAACAAGATATTGAAGTGAAGCAGGGAGGTTAAACATTGGTTCAGTGTCATCTTAAAAAAATCAGTTAAGAATCATACACATCCAACATGCAAGATTATATCACTGATCACTGTACATTATTTGCCATAAGGGTTTCCTATAAATGTTTATTGGCTAATAATCACTACAAACCAGTATTAGCCCACTTTAAGCCCGTACAAGAACCACACCACACTTGTCCGTGTGTGCCCTATTTGCTATAATAGCGATACCCATTCAACATGCAAGGTTATATCACTGATAACAGTACCTATAACGCTATATTGGCTAACAATCACTACAAACCAGCATTAGCCTACAGAACCACACCACACTTGTCCGTGCGCTCTAATTGCTGTAAATGGTCATGCCTGGCCTCCGGGGCACGGGCGACAGGCACCCCGCACCGTGGGCGTCTGGCGCAGCGCCCGGCCGACTTGGAACCGAAGCCTCCCGCAGGAGAACCCTCGCGATTCCTATCTGCGGTCACTTACACTGTTTAGTGGCCAATTGAATGAATTAGTCGTATCTGGTGGTACATTGTCGCCGCTGCTAACAACCTTCGAGGCCACGAAGACGCCTGAAACCAGAGAGATAGCTCTGGAAGGCCCCCTAGAAAGATGCCATCATGTTGGTAATCATTTGCAAACTCTCGGAAACGCTCTGTTTAATTGTTATTCCATTCTTTATAGCATCGCAGTGTAGCGTTCTACTTCTGAAATCCAATGTGTATTCAGGCAGTTTTGGGACGTAGTGGGGAAAATTATGCATCATATGCAACCCATGCCATAGAAACTTCACAAGAAGGCGATCAAAAACACACCCTTTGGGAGTGTAACTTTTTCTAGGCCCAGCTATAAAGCCATGATGATGTTATTAAGGTCATATCAAGATATGTTTCAGTGTTTCAATCGCAACGGAAATGTTTTGAAACGTAACGTCGATCTTTGGTGAGATGTTTTGTTTTCCAAGTTAGCGTAAACGCCAAAGGCGTAAAAAGAAAAACAAGCCCAAGTCATTCATCTGCTGGGAGATTAACATTAACAGCGGTGATGTTATCAAGGTTAGATCAATATATGCTTCAGTCGCAACGGAATTGTTTTGAAACGTTGATCTGTGGTGCGATGTTGTGTTTTTCAAGTTAAGGTAAACCCCAAAGGTGTTAAAAAAACAAGCCCAAGTCATTCATCTGCTCAAAGATTAACATAATATACACCGGCGGTGATGTCATCAAGGCCAGATCAAGATATGCGTTAGTGTTTCAATCGCAACGGAATTGTTTTGAAACGTCTATCTGTGGTGGTACGATGTTTTGTTTTCCAAGTTAGCGTAAACGCCAAAGGCGTAAAAAAAAAAACAAGCCCAAGCCATCCATCTGGTGGAAGACTAACATAACCAGCGGTGATGTCATCAAGGCCAGATTAAGATATGCTTCAGTGTATCGCAACGGAAATGTTTTAAAACGTCTATCTGTCTTGCCATATTTTCTTTTCAAGTTAGCGTACACGCCAAAGGCGTAAAAGAAAAACAAGCCAAACTCATTCATCTGCTTAGAGATTGACGTAACCAGCGGTGATGTTATCAAGGTTAGATCAAGATATAACCAACATTGTTTTGAAACGTCTATCTGTGGTGGTGCGATGTTTTGTTTTCCAAGTTAGCGTAAACGCCAAAGGCGTAAAAAGAAAAACAAGCCCAAGTCATCCATCTGGTGAGAGATTAACCCTTTATCACCTTCCTGACGTCAAACCTTGTTTTGTCCTACGGCTGATTGGCTCCGTCATAAGGCCTAAGAAAAAACTGCTGTGTTTCCCGACCGACCCAAGAAAAAACTGCCGACCCTAGCGTTTCTGTGTCTGTGTGAACCCCTGCATACAAGGAACAATTTTTCAAGTTCAACCTTTTCTAGCTCCACGATCTGACACCTGAGTGATGAAACTTCATACAATCGGTTTCCCAAAGGTGTCAAACCTTGCCTAATTCAACCCGTCAAAATGTCAATCGTTGCCGAAATATCGGCAGCTGGACATTAACGGAAGAAAAATGTAAGTTCCCTCATGTAAGTTTTACTTTGGATCACTAGAGATCATTAAAGTCTAGGAGGAAATTCCACACTGAAAGCTTTTTTTCTAGAACAACATCAATATGGAACAAGCTACCACGTGATTGTTTCCCACATGGGTTCAACCTTAAACTTTTTAAGTATAAGGTCAACAAACATCTGTCCTCACTGTCTGTACAGTAACCCAAAACACTTTGAGTGGCTCCCATGAGCCTTGTTTTTTGGTGCGCCATGAAGTAAATTCATGACTGAAACATGAAACACAACTTTTTTTCCTAGGCCTAACCAACGGCTGCTTGGCTTCGTGTGACATCCTAACGAAGCAAACATGTCTGAC